GTTGGAGCGTAGGCTGTCCCCTTCCACGGTAACACTTTACGGTAAGGGTACATGAATTATCATGAATTCATGTATAAATTCATGCATGAATTATGCATTAATTCATGCAATAATATCTCATGAATCATCAGGAAATAACACGAGTTCAACGTTTTTCATTCATGACTTCATGGATGAACAACACCTTAATTAAAACATTAACTAATATGAGTACATCATCATGAATTATGATTTATTACGCATGATCATGATGTTTTCTTTGTTCTGCCACCTTTAAGAGTACATTGTTCATCAGTGTTTCAAAGGACCTAGTCACCACTTTAGTTAAAGGGCCACACATGATGAAGTCATTGATAAATAATGCTTAGTTAATGATGACTACTGTATTGAATAGACCCCAAAATCCAATCACAGCTCATAGCACACAAATTTTGTTGACATTCAAATACAGTAGTCATCATTAAATCCGTGGGGAAGCACGTCCTGGTCATCAGATTCCTCAAGGGTGCTAGGAGGTTAAATCCGCCTCGTGCTTTGCACTCTCTACCCTCTTGGGACCTAGCTCTGGTACTGAGAGCTCTCCAAAGTCCTCCCTTTGACCCTTTGCTGACAGTAGAGCTGAATATCCTGTCCATTATGACAGCGCTCCTGTTGGCATTGGCCTCTTTCAAGAGGGTCGGGGATCTGCAGGCTTTTTCGATCGATGAATCGTGCCTAGAGTTTGGGCCGGGCCTTTCTCGTGTTATATTGAGACTCCGCCCCGGATATGTGCCCAAGGTTCCTACCACTCCCTTCGCGGACCAGGTAGTGAACCTGCAAGCGCTGCCCCAGGAGGAGGCAGACCCAGCCCTAGCTTTTCTCTGTCCAGTCCGCGCCGTGCGGGTTTACATTGACAGAACGCAAAGCTTCAGGACCTCAGACCAGCTCTTTGTCTGTTACGAAGGCCAGCAGAAGGGGAAGGCTGTCTCCAAGCAGAGGTTAGCTCACTGGTTAGTGGATGCTATCACCCGAGCGTATGAAGCTACGGGTGAGCCTTGTCCTCCCAGGTTGCGTGCTCACTCCACGAGAGGTGTTGCTGCCTCCTGGGCTTTGGCTCAAGGCACCTCGCTGTCAGACATCTGTAGAGCTGCGGGCTGGGCGACACCGAACACGTTCGCTAGGTTCTATAGTAGACCCCGAAGCCATTTGTTTTGAGAATAATGGCTGGCTGATGACGTTATTGGCTGGCTAGCCGGCTCAGCCAAAACTAAATGGCTGCTGCAGCCGCCAAACTTTTCATAGCTGCAAACGGCTGAAGCTGCCAATTCATGTCTACAGATGTCTATGTTATACTGATTTACTAGATCTCAATATTTTCAAGCAATGCATGGCTTACACTATATTTTTACAAAATGCAATACAATGTAATAAAGAAATGCAATACAATTACTTGTAATAACTGTTGCACAAAACACCTAAAGTGAAGATTTAGAACTAGCCTATTTGAGCTATGTAATATTAGCTATAGTGATAGGCGGATTCAATAGCCACTGTAACGTTAGTGAATAATGTCCCTGCTGCTGTGTAAGAATGCACACTTGTCAAACTTCACGGAGTAACGTTATGCATATATTTATGACATGTACAGTAATTCGCTGTTCAACTTCACAGTCATTGATGATTCACTGTATTGAAGAGGAAGAATCAGATGAGCAGTATTTGCCTCAGCCAGTTCCTGGGAACATTGGGTTGGACCATCTAACAGACTTCCAGCGGTCGCAGGTACAAGTTCTTCAAAGGTACTTCAAAGGTATTTTATGAATATCCCGGATATACTAACTTGATTGAGCATGATGTGGTACTGAAACCTGATGCTGTTGTAAGACGCCAGAGTTATAGGATACCTGAGATATTCCAGGTGACCTTGCAGGAGGAGGTGGATCTCCGTCCTTCGGATGAGACGTTAAACCGAGGTCCTGACTCTCTGTGGTCATTAAAAATCCCAGGATGTCTTTCGAAAGAGTAGGGGTGTAACCCCGGCATCCTGGCCAAATTTGCCCAGTGGCCTCTTTCCATCATGGCCTCCTAATCATCCCCATCTATACCCCATAATTGGCTTCATCATTGTCTCCTCTCCACCAGTAAGCTGGTGTGTGGTGAGCGTTCTGGCGCACTATGGCTGCCGTCGCATCATCCAGGTGGATGCTGCACACTGGTGGTGGTTGAGGAGATTCCCCTCTCTATGTAAAGCGCTTTGAGTGCCGAGAAAAGCGCTATATAAATGTAATGAATTATTGTTATTATTATCTTATGCTTCGGTTGGGCATCATCGAGCCTTCGAAAAGTGAGTGGTGTCACCCCATCGTCCTTGTGCCAAAGAAGGACGGGAGTGTATGGTTCTGTATTGATTTCCGATATCTGAATTCAGTATCACAGTTTGATTCCTACCCTTCTCCTCGCATAAGTGATCTAATTGATCATTTGGGCCAATCCCAATATCTGACAACAATGGACCTTTCTAAAGGCTATTGGCAAATTCCACTGACTCCCTCCTCACGGCCCTTGACTGCATTCAGAACATCCAGGGGCCTTTTCCATTTCAAGGTGTTACTTTTTGGCCTTCATGGGGCCGTGGCGACCTTTCAGAGGTTAATAGACCAAGTATTACGTGGTTTACCTTTTGCTGCTGAATATCTTGACGATATTGTCATTTACAGTAACACCTGGGAGGAACATGTGCAGCATCTCCGAGAAGTCTTGCAGTGTCTTCAGAATGCCGGCCTAACAGTCAACCCCACCAAGTGTGCTGTGGCTAAACAAGAGACTGAGTACCTGGGCTATGTCATTGGCTGGGGTGTTGTGCGACCGCAGGTGAAGAAAGTTCAAGCCTTGGAGAAGTGTGTGGTGCCCCAGACACGTAAGGATCTGCGATCTTGTTTGGGTATGGCTGGATTTTACCATCGCTTTGTCTCCAACTTCTCTAGCAGGGCTGCTCCACGAACAGACATGGTGGGGGCCCGTTGTCCGAACCAACTGCAGTGGACTGAGGAGAGATTGAAAGCCTTCCGAGACATCCAAGGAGCTTTGACAACTAGCGCTCTACTACACAAACCTGACTTCAGCTGACCCTTCGTTGTACAGACCGATGCCTCTGAGAGGGGAGTAGGAGCTGTCCTATTGCAAGGGCCACCAGAGAACCGACAGCCCGTGGCTTATATCAGTCGTAAACTGTTTCCGTGAGAAGTATGTTATTCAACTGTGGAAAAGGAGTGTTTGGCTATAAAGTGGGCGTTGGATTCCCTATGATACTATCTACTGGGCCGTGAGTTTATTCTTGAGACTGATCATAAAGTGTTGCAGTGGTTGGAGAAAATGAAGGATTCTAATGGTAGGATTACAAGATGGTACCTCGCTATGCAGCCCTTCAGATTCAAGATACAACATGTGTCTGGTA